TGAGACTTGGCAAAATGTTGTTGTCTTCAATGGACGGGTAGTGACTCGCCTTAGTGACCATGGGACAAGCACGTTTCAATGAAAATCCGCGTATTGTACAACTGCAAATGGTTGAACAAGTTGGTAGAAACACCGTGCCACAGGTAATTTGGACCTTGCTATTTTCACAAGAGTGGTCTGCGTGGGAGGTTGCTTTCTCGTCTGATGCAATCAGCACGTGGGTCTTCTCCGATGAACAAGTGGTCGATGTAGGACAAAAGTACTCTGTCCGAAGAAGAAAAGGCTTTCATCGTGCGGAGAATGTGGACTGACGGTGGGAGGTACATTTGCGCTCAATAGCATGCCGTGAGGGCTGGTTTTGGATACTGTCTGCCTTGCCTTACTCCTGTCAGGTACAAACATACGTCAGAGCGAATCACTTACAATCGCCATGAGAAACTGCATGGGGTGTCGCATGGACGACACTAAGACTGAAACCACGCCTTGATGTCACCCCGAGAAGAGAGAATCGATCTAATATGATCTCTAACAGGCTAAGAGCAATGAACAAGAGCTCCGCTGACGCTTTGGACAATTTGAGCAGGGCAGAACAGCATCAGCGCAAATGGGTTACTAGTGAACATACGTTTCAAGACTGCTTCGGCTGGTGGTACATTCATGAAATCGCAGCCAGGGACCGTTCCTTCCTGGCGACCTGACAGCGACTCGGCACAGCCGCCGGCGCGTCACGAGCCATACTTTCAGTATCTTGAATCTCTCAAGATTGGGTTCTTTGGCTGGCTAGAGCACAAGCGTGGGGATGCTCACCCCACGGCTGCCCCATGGTGGCCATTGATTTGGACGCCAGATCTGGACCAATATGCTCGCCCTATGAGATGCTCTGCACTTGCCGTTTTCGATTGGGGCCATGTTAGTGCAGACCAAATTCGACCGGATACGGGCTGGGACCAGCGGGAACGAGAGATGGAGGACAGAGGATTTGTGATCCCATCAGTTCGAGCGCTGACGGATAGTTTGGACGCAGCGAACCGAGCATCTACATCGAACCAAGTAGGGGGCAGATTTTCGCATCGTCGCCGAACTTTTATCATCGGCCAAGCCGCAGTGATGAAGTAGTCTCGAAACGTGAAGAGAAGGCTGCGATGTCGGATGGCGTATGCAATCGCCGTATCGCACAGCGACGTCCGTTGCTTATTCCGAATCGAACGTTGCCCTTTTGGCTTGACTTGGTTTCTATTTCTGGTTGCATGTGTGGTCATATCTACAACGACGAAGCGTGCGAGAGGCCAGGTGATATCCAAGTTGCAACACAATTTGTTCTTGAGTGCTTATCGATTGTTCCAACTGCGAGCCCGTTGGACACCGACATTATTCATGACGTGCCGCCGGGACTACCCGAACATGTTGATATAATTTGGAACCAACCGTTTGATCGCATCCCCACCCGTGGAAGATGGGGACGAATTCCTTTAGCTGGACGAGAAGTCATTTTTTTTGTATTCGTGTCCGCCGGAATCGATGTTTCGTTTCCGGGGTATGAGTTGCAGCGTAATCCGCAATCCACCCAAGTCATACAATATGCTTATGCTTTGGGTTGTCGGATCCGAGCTGCAGTAGAGACATTTGACTCGCTTCATACTTGGATCAACGGATTAGGAAACGAAGTATCTGAGACCGCACGACGGAATTGCTCGGGCATTCAGAGGCCATTGTCTTTCTACACACGTCTACGGAGCCCTAATAGAGTATCAAGATTTGTCGCGCCAGCAGCCTATTTGGGGTCTTCAATACTGATAACGCTATTTGGGTCACCAATTGCCTCAAGAAGAAAAAAGAGGAGAGTGGCCCAGCCAACTCTCCAACCGAGACAGTCCCAGCAGAGTCGCCAGCAGATGCTGTAGCCCCAGTTGTTGACGGCATTACCCCGAGCGGCACCGCCACCCAGGGGCAGCGAACTCTTCAATGCTCTCGCCGGGCATCGCGACCGAGGTTCCAGCGTGGAAGGCAACCTCGTCGGGCCGCTCCCAATGCGCCTGTGTCTGCCGCCTCTGCCGCGTCAGGCAACAATGCCGGCTGGATCGATTATGACAGGATCCAGTCGTGGGCGGATGAATTCTGGACTGAGGGGCCCATCCCCGAAAGACTGGCTGTAGAGCCGGTTGGCGGCCGCGCGCGCGATGGCGGCGGCCCCGGGCCGGCCGTGGGCGGCGTCTACGACGCGACCGTTGACTGCGAAGACAAGACCGAGAGTGGATACATTCGATGATACTATGTACACGTATCCCAGCATCATCACGTCGCCGGTCATAACAAAATGTGGCCATGGTTTAGTCTGGGCGAGTACAGCGACAAGTTCCAGCGCGACTTTGGGACGCCGAGTGCCTTGCCTGCGCTCCCCCCGCCCGCCGCCTATTCCGAAGGCGAGGCCGCCGGAGAAGGGGCGGGGCAAGAATGGGCCAAGTGGCTGGAGCTCGAGCAGAGGAGAGGACAGCTCCTCCAGGGACCAGAACCAGCGGCGCTGGAGTAACAGCGATCCCTGGGATGACTCTCGTGAATGGAGAGGTCGATGGAGAAGGTGATGCTGCGCAATGGAACCAGTGCGACAAAGTCGATACTGGTCCGCGCTACTTCGTGGAGCGGGTGCACCATGTGTGCATGGGTATTGATGCCTGAGCTGGAAATATTAGCTCAGGCGGGGAACGTCGGGCTTCTTCGGCCTTCCGCCCCCTGGCAACCACCGTCGAGCGGTCAAATGCTGTTTGGGGTTCGCTCCGGTGGCTGTACATATTTGCCGTCCAGGTGGGTTTGGGGTCGGGACGGCTCTATGGGTCCCGCCTCGGGGGGAGTCAATGCACCCCTTCCGCGCCAGCATTCTTTCGCCCTGCCTGCTCTCTCTCCTTGCGCGCGCTGTCCGTCTGCTGTGCTGACTGACTTCTTCTGCTCCCGCAGCTATATACTTTGGTTTTAGAAGGAGCGAGCCTGCGGCGCGCGCGCGTGCGTCGGCCGGCGGGCCGGCCTCCTCCCTTCAGTGCTACTTTAGTGTATGCTAGACGGCACTATCCCTTCTTACCCATGCCATCTGCGGAGCCCACTGGCCATGATATATCGTCATGACATCTCGCAGGGATTACGAATATGCAGGCAAAAGACGAGTAGACCAGTTCGGAATATCACATCGCATCGCCGATGCATCGGCGATGCGGCTCGATGCGGAGTCGACTTTTGCACGCTGGCGTCGCCGATGCACCGCCGATGCGCCACCGATGCGCCCTCGATGGGTCGGCGCTCCGTTGGCGTTAAATCGGGCATGTCCCTATGCAGGAGGAGTCTTCACAAAGAGTCAGAAGGTAGTATGGGGACGATTTGTGATGAGTGTTTTTTTTCAGCATTTTTGGAGCACTTCTGGACAATTTTCAATTTTTCGTCCGAGATCCCCCTGCACAGGGACAGCCCCGACCTAACATTGGCGCTTCGGCGCGATCCTCCAACTCCATTTAGTCGGGCCTTATCTGGGAGGCCTGGAATCATGCAGCTGTTCAAAGGAATCCGCCACCGTGCCGCAGGGCACGAGTTGGAGTGCATGCCTTCAGCTCCCTTGCAGTTCGAGTATTGAAGAGCCCGGACCTCAAATTCTCAAGCATCCTGGGGTTCCTGGGAGTCCTTTACAGTCGGGGCCGCTGCAGAAGGAACCCTTTTCGTCGGGGCGGGGCTCAGTGTTCCTTACTTGTTTCGCAGTTTGTCTCAGGTTCCCCCAGTTTTTCTGGGGGAAACCTAACCTCAACCTGTGGAAAACAGGGTCCTCGTTCCTCATCGACTGGCTCCTCATGGCAGCGTTTCGACTGCACGGTAGGTTCGCGTCCTGTCGACCAGCGGCGACTTCGCCAGCGGCGTTCCACGTTGAATGCCGCGGGCGACCCAGAATCGTTCGATGTGGAACGACTTGGATGTTTCGGAAACGGCCCATCGGTCAAGGTTGAACGACCCCCGCGGTGTCAGGAACCAGCGCCGACGTCGGCACGACACGAACTTGACGTAGTTCTGGAGCTCGGAGCCCCTCCGCTTCGTCGTCGCTCATTCGTTCGCCTCCTGGGCCTGGCCGCGGCGGCCGCGGCACGGCGCCTCCTCGGGGGGGCCGCTGCCCCCCCGCCGCGCTGTCGCCTGGAGCGCCCTGCGCCCTGCGGGGCGGCGTCCCGCCGCGCGCGCGGCGCCCGGGGCCCCCCCGCCCACCCCCGCTGGAGGCTGTCCGCCACCGGGAGGCTCCCTTTGGCATTCGGAGGAAAACATCGTCTTCGTCATCGTGATCGTCATCGTCATCGTCATCGTCGTCGTCGGGGAACGAAGAGTGACATACACATACGAACTCGGAGGTCCGCGCGAATTTCTCGGAGAACTGACATCTCCCTGTGTTTCCTGTCCTTTCTCCTTCTCTCAGCACCTCGGGGGCGGCCTGGCGGGCCCCTCGCAGACCATCCCCTCCAGTGACGCCCCCCTCGCCTCGCCCCAAGACGTGTGCCTGCGGCCGGAGGGGAGCTTGAAAGGCGAGGGTGATGTCACGGAAGTGGATGGCTTGCCAGGGGTCGTTGAGGCCTCGCCCGGCATCCCCTCGCAGGGCTATCTCGTGATGCTCTCTGGCCGTCGGCCGCCGAGCGCGGCGAGCGCCGCGGAGCACGGCGGCCTGGGCCTGCTGGCATGGAGCGGTGCCGGGCGTGCAGTGCGGTGCGCCGGGTTCACCACGCTGCTCGTGTCACTCCTTGGAGGAGGAGGAGGAGGAGGAGGAGGAGGAGGAGGAGGAGGAGGAGGAGGAGGAGGACCTGCCTCGTCAGAGGCAGGCCGATCCGTGCTCCATGCTCCCTCCGCCCACCACCCGGCACCTGGACTGCCCCCCCCCCCCCGCCGGCACCGTGGCGGCTGTTCTGGTCGGGCGCGAGTCGCCGAGGGGAGCACGGCGTGCCAGCATGTCCCTCTTTGCTTTCCGTCTTCGCGCGCCTGCTGCCCGCCAGGTGGCCCTCGCCGCGGTGGCGCAGGACTGGCGGGCGTTCGAGAGCGTGGCCGCCAGCCTCAAGGTTCGGACGCAACTCCTGGGAGGTGGCATTCATCATCGGCGCTGATACCTCCGTGGTCGAAGAGTGACCTCATCCGGCCCGGGTCCGTTTCGCTTTGTTTGATTCGGCTTGTTCTGGCTCTGTCTGGCCTCGTCGGACTTGATCTCGGGCCCAATCTGGCCGGATCTAGCACAATGGCCCCCTAATCAGGTCTCATGGCCTTGAATCGTTCTTGCGGAGACCTCCCAGGATATGCTTCCCAATCAAGGGTGACCGCGAGATCGCCCTCACGGCCGTCAGGCAGCACGGCGCGGCACTGGACCACGCCGCCGAGGTGCCCCTTTGGAGGGCTCAAGGGAGGAACAGCGAGGGGACAAAGACAGCCATCTAGTGGCCTTCGGCCCGTCCCGCCACCGTGCCTAATTAGGTTGTAGGTCAGAGGCCTCGGAAACCCCTTGAAGACGGTTTTTGGGGTGTCGTCGAGCCTCTTGGGGGCTGGTGGGGGCCCCTTGGGGACCTGCGGGCGGTCTCGAGGGTCATCTTGGGGCGGAGGGCTCCACATGTTGGTTCGTGCTCTCCCTCTCGGGCCCCTCCACATGAGCGACGAGCAAGAAACGGGCTCAACTGCGTCGACATTCGCGCGCAAGCTGCTCGTGCAAGATCGCGCGCCCGCGCCCTCGTTCCCCGCGCGGTGTACCGCGCTGGCGGCCCGCGTGAGCCGAGGCGTAGGGTCACTATGCCATCTCGCGTAAGACCCGTTTTTGATTGTCGCTCACATCTCGAGTGGGGGGTCGATTTTCTAATCGATTTGCCCCAGAGCTCATTTCCCGTCGAATCTACATAGCATACGTAGAATATACCATCTGAAAAAATGCTGTTCAGACTCTGGGCCGCCCCCAGACTCTGGGGGGTCCTCCCTCCTCCTCCTCTTCCTCCTCTGGACCTCTGGATGGTGGCAGTTCTTGTGCATAGCACTGATGCCATCGTCCTCTTCCTCCTCTTCCTCCTCCTTGTCCGCCTCCTCCTCCTCCTCCTCCTCCTCCTCCTCCCCCCTCCCCTCATCATCTGCCTCCTCCTCCTTCTCCTTCTCCTGCAGCTCCCTCCCCTCATTCTCCTCTCCATCCTCCTCCCCCGCCGCCTCCTCCTCCCTCCCCTCATCCTCCTCCCCTCATCCTCCTCCCCTCATCCTCCTCCCTCCCTCTTCTCATCCTCCTCCTCATCCTCCTCGTCCGCCGCCGCCGCCGCCGCCGCCGCCGCCGCCGTCGTCGTCGTCGTCGTCGTCGTCGTCGTCGTCGTCGTCGTCGTCGTCGTCGTCGTCGTCGTCGTCGTCGCCGTTGCCGCCGCCGTCGTCGTCGTCGTCGTCGTCGTCGTCGTCGGTCGTCGTCGTCGTCGTCGTCGTCGTCGTCGTCGTCGGCGTGGCCGCCGCCGCCGTCGTCGCCGTCGTCGTCGTCGTCGTCGTCGACGTCGTCGTCGCCGTCGTAGTCGTCTGTCGTCGTCGTCGGTCTTCGTCGTCGTCGTCGTCGGTCGGTCGGTCGGTCGGTCGGTCGTCGTCGTCGTCGTCGGTCGGTCGGTCGTCGTCGTCGTCGTCGTCGTCGTCGGTCGTGGTCGTCGTCGTCGTCGTCGTCGTCGTCGTCGTCGTCGTCGTCGTCGTTGTCGTGGCCGCCGCCGCCGCCGCTGCCGCCGCCGCCGCCGTTGTCGTCGTCGTCGTCGTCGTCGTCGTCGTCGGTCGTCGTCGTCGTCGTCGTCGTCGTCGTCGTCGTCGTCGTTCGACGATCGAGTTTGGAGTTTCGATGCGGTTTTTCATGATGTTCGGCCTCTGGAGGCTGTTTTCGGGCTCGGGGGCGGTCAGACACCGAGAATGATTTTGAGCCGATTTTGGTCCTCGTCGTCGTCGTCGTGGAGGACAGTCAGCCTTGCAGACTGTCAGCCTTGCAACTGCAGGCGCGTACCGCCCGCGGAGCGGCGGCGGCGGCGGCGGCGGCGGCGGCGGCAGCGGCGGCCACGACGACGACGACGGCGACGACGACGACGACGACGACCACGCCGACGAGGACGAGGACGACGACGACGACGATGACGACGACGACGACGACGACGACGACGACGACGACGACGACGACGACGACGACGACGAGGACGACGACGACGACGAAGACGACGACGACGGCGGCAACGGCGACGTCGTCGTCGTCGGCGGGGGCTGGGGCTGTCTTGGGCCCTCCTGGGGCCTGCAGAATTTGGACATCCATGTCCAAACTGTCTTGTCCGCAGGTTCTTGAAGCTTCGGTGGGGGGCTATCGATTTCTTCTGGGCGGCGCAGCGGGCGACACCCTGAAGTGTCCCCCGGCGCCCGGACACTTTGGACATCCATGTCCAGTTTGTCCAGAGACGGTTTGGGCCCTCTTGAGGCCATCTTGGGGCCACCCTGGGGCCAACTTGGGGGGGTCGACCCCTGAAATAAAACTAGTACACAGGACAGGGCTCCAGGGACCTGAGGACTGAGGGCTCCAGAGACCTGATGATGATGATGACGACGATGATGGTGATCATGGTGGTGGTGATGACGACGTGGGAAATGACGGAGAATATGATGAGGAGGAATAATACGGAAATGCCGGTCTGAGCACTTCATGGGCTCGACCAACTGGACTGGTAAGTTTTGCTGCTGCTTTTCCCCAGGGTCCTGGAGCCCTCGGGGCCTTGGGGGGCCCCAAAACGGATCCGAAGCCTCAAGTTTTTCCGGCTCGCGACCAGCGACCGGCGACCAGCGACGACGACGACGGGCAGATCGAGTAACTTGGCGCCCCCCCTTGGGAGCATCCGGTAACTGGGGGGTGCGCTCCACGCCCCCCACTTACCTGGTGTCCCCCAGGGGACATCGGGGGGGGGTGTTGGGGGGGGGGTGTTGGGCACGAGTTGCCCGGTGCGAGGGGGGGGGCATCGGGTAACTCGACCATGCGCGGGGGGGTCTCGGGCATGAGTTACCCGGTGTCCCCCGGGAGACATCGGGTAAGCGGGGGGTGCGCTCCGCGCCCCCAACTTACCCGGTGCCCCCCGAAGGGGGCGCATTCGGCATGATTCAGCTGCGGAGCTCGAGGCCTCCTTCGCCTCTCCGTCGACTCGTCCCTGCTGGCTGGCGCCCCCCCCTCCCCCCCCGCGTGGCCCCCTGCGGCGGGCGCGGCCCCCAGCGAGGGCGGCCCTGCCGTGAGGCAGCGGCCCGCCTCCCGCCCGCTCAACCACCCGCCCTGTTGCGGCCCCCCCCCCTTGCCCGTGGGGCGTGCCCCGCCTCTGTATGCCTGCCTCGGCGGGCGGGCTGCTTCGCGCGCGAGGCATCCGCTCTCTTGCTCCCCGACGGGATGGGCTCGCCATGCTGACGCACTTCCTCCTCCCTCCTTCTCCTTCTCCTTCTCCTTCTCCTTCTCCTTCTCCTTCTCCTTCTCCTTCTCCTTCTCCTTCTCCTTCTCCTTCTCCTTCTCCTTCTCCCTTCTCCTTCTCCTTCTCCTTCTCCTTCTCCTTCTCCTTCTCCTTCTCCTTCTCCTTCTCCTTCTCCTTCTCCTTCTCCTTCTCCTTCTCCTTCTCCTTCTCCTTCTCCTTCTCCTTCTCCTCTCCTCTCCTTCCTCTCCTGCTCCTCTCCTGCTCCTCTCCTCTCCTCTCCTCTCCTGCTCCTCCTCCTCCTCCTCCTCCAGCTCCTCCCTCCTCCCTCCTCCCTCCTACCTCCTCCCTTCACCCTCCTCCCTCGCGGCCTGGGGTAGCGCTTCCGCTGCCCTCAGGTTGGCCCTGCTGGGCCCCCCCCCTGGGGACTATCTCGCGGTCCCTGTCCTCGCCGAGCGGGCCTCTGCCCCCGTGGGAGCGGCTGGGACGGGACGGTTTCTGGGCCTCGCCTTTCGCTGCGGTCAGCGCTGCCCGAGCGGTGCCCGGGCCTCCTCCCAGGTGGCCTCTGCCCCTGCATGCCCCCTGCATGCCCCAACCCTCTTTTTTCAGAAGACGATCCTGGGAGCCTCTTACTGTCAGTTGGCCTGGTTTTCCTGCGCCTCCACTGGTCCACAGTCGTTTGCTCGCGCCACTGGAGGCCTCTGGGGGCTACGGGAGGCCGCTGGAGGCCATCGGAGGCCGCGGGGGGGCCACTGGAGGAGACACTGGAGGCGGCTCTAGGCTTGCGGGGGGCCGCGGGGGTCCAATGGTGGCCCATTGGAGGAACCACTGCGGCCACTCAGGTGATGACGAAAGGCTCCCAGGATCGTCTTCTGAACTCTCTTGGGGCGGCGCGCACTCTTCGGCCCCCTCCCGGCTGGGGCTGGCCGCTGCCACTCCGGTCCCGGGCCGCCTCGCCGCTCTCCGCCTGCGGGCCGCTTTTTTTGTTCGCGCCCACCCTCCCGCTCACTGCCGAGCCATCCCTGGGATCCGAGGAGGGGGACGGGGAGAAGAGGAGGAGGAGGAGGAGGAGGAGGAGGAGGAGGAGGCGGGGGAGGAGGAGGAAAACAGGAGGAGGAGGAGGAAAAGGCAGAGGAGGAGAAGGAGGAGGAGGAGGAGGCGGAGGAGGAGGAGGAGGAGGAGGAGGAGGCGGAGGAGGAGGAGGAGGAGAGGGAACATGGGAACAACCTAAGCCTTGGCTCCAGGGGGGGGGGCGCAGGCCGCGGAGGACGGCGGTGCGCCCAGGCCGCCCCTTCAGGGATCGCCCTCTGGCTGGCTCCGCCGGGTTTCGCGGCTCCTTGCGCCTGCGACGTTTGGCGGCTCCGCCGCAGGGCCTGCACCAGCGCTCCCTGTCGTTCCTCGGCGCGCTGCTTGTCGGTCCACTCCGACGACTCGTTCCCCCCGCCTTCCAGTCCCGGTTGCCTTATGCCACGTTCCATTTCACTGCAGTTTCGTCTACTCCCCGCCACCTCCCCGCCCATCCATGCCTGGATGGTTATGGCTGCCGCTGGCTGCAAGGCCCTGAGCGGTCTCTGAATGCTCGGCCG